CAGACCAGTAGGGGAGCAGTGAGGGACAATCAGGCAGGCAGGCAGGCAGAGCTGGTTAGGGGTGATCAGGCAGGCAGAGGTGCTTAGGGGCAATTAGGCAGGCAGGCAAACTGTTAGGAGCCAGCTGTCCCGGATTGCAAGGGGCAGTTGGACATCCCCCGAGGGGCAGCCCGGGTACTGGGTGCCTGCGGCAAGCCAGAGGGAGGGAAGGCCAGGTCCAGGTGCCTGAGACTGGCCAGAGGAGGGAATCATGAGGCAGAGGTGGTTAGGGGCGATCCGGACAGCAGTGGAGCAATTATGGACGATCAGGCCAGTAGGGGAGCAGTTAGGGACAATCAGGCAGGCAGGCAGGCAGAGCTGGTTAGGGGTGATCAGGCAGGCAGAGGTGCTTAGGGGCAATTAGGCAGGCAGGTGAACTGTTAGGAGCCAGCTGTCCCGGATTGCAAGGGGCAGTTGGACATCCCCCGAGGGGTCCCCGATTGGAGAGGGTGCAGGCCTGGCTGAGGGACGCCCCTCCCCCGCATGAATTTCATGCACCGGGCCTCTAGTATTATATATTTACAATGGGGGTTAGCAATATGAAGAGACAGATGTAATAAGGGTATTTTACAGGGGCCTGCAGGGTGGATCAGGGAAAACCTCCCTGAGGAGGTGATATTTAAACTGAGAACAGAAAGATGACTAGCCCTTTGTTAGATAAAGAGGGGCAAGGGGAGGAGGAGAGAGAGGGGAGTGCTATTCCTGACAATGGGAACAGAACATACAAAAGTTCTGGGGCAGCCCCAGCTGGTTTGGCTCAGTGGATGGAGCATCAATCTGTGGACTAAAGAGTCTCAGGTTCGATTCTGGTCAAGGGCACATGCCCAGGTTGCGGGTTTGATTCCCAGTGGGGAGTGTGCAGGAGGCAGCTGATCAATGATTCTCTCTCATCATTGATGTTTCTATCTCTCTCTCCCTCTTAAGGAAATTAATAAAAATATATATTTTTAAAAGTCCTGGGGCAGAAAAAGAGTGGCATATTTTAGGAACTGAAAAAAATGGCCATCATGACCTTTTATAGGGCCATCTCATTTACACACATCCCCACCTGAAGCAAAGCATGGGAAGGGCAGAGATTTTCCTTCCCACATCGGAAATGGAAGACTGAGGCCCAAAGAGGGTTGTTGCAGGTATCCTGATACCCGGCTTCACTCACCAGTTCCACTGCTCACCCAACTGGTTTAGGTGTGATTGCTGCCTTCAGTATTCACCCATGAAGGAAACTGCTTAAAGCTCTTGACAAGCCAGTCAGACAGGTAGATAATCCTGCCCACCGGGAGGAGACTCCAAAGTAAAAGGGGGCAGAGGCTGACCAGGGCAATTACCTTGACGTGCATGCTACTGTCCAGGAGGATATTGCCTGGCTTCAGGTCCAGGTGGAGCAGAGGTGGCTTAATGCTATGGAGGAAGTTCATGGCCAGGCTGGTCTCATGGATGATGCGGAATTTGAGCTGCCAGGAGAGGCTGTGGGTGCACAGCATCTTCTCCAGGGAGCCGTTGGCCATGAACTCCATCACAATGCCCAGGGGCTGCTTGCACACCCCGTAGATGGACACAATGTGCTGAAACTTGACCTTCTCCATTTTGGTTGCTTCTTCAATGAGGCAATTCACATCAGAGCTGTGGAGGGGGATGGAGTGAGAGGTGAAAGGAGGTGACTGTCAGTTACAAGAACAACTAGCAGGACACACAACCTAGGCTTGATGCCAGCCTGTGCAGACCCAGAGGAGCCTTGGGAGCTCATGAGGTGGAATAGGAGGAAGGAGAGACCTGGAAGGATGGCCAGTAGGACACACGGGTTAGGCTCTAGATGGCCAGCAGGAAAAAAGACAGGGAGTAAAGGAGTTTGCAAGGTAGCCCTGGCCAGTGTTGCTCAGTAATTACAGCACCAGAATGCGCACCGAAGGGTTGTGGATTCGACTCCAGCTCAAGGGCACCTACCTGGGTTATAGGTTTGATCCCCAGCCCTGGCCGTGTCTCTCTGGCATGAATGTTTCTCACTTTCTCTTTCCCCTTTCTCTCCCCTTCCCTCCCTCCCTTACACCCTCTCTAAAAATCAATGAAAAAAATATCCTCAGGTGAGGATTAACAACAACAAAAAAGCCTGCCATTAATTCGGGCCTTTTGTCTATATCTCCCCCAGTAGATTGCAAGCCCCTGGAGGACCAATATTATGCCTCCTGCTTCCATTTTAATTTGTTTTTATTGCCATTTTGATTATGAAAGTAATACATACGCCCTGTAGAAAATCTAGATAATACAGAGAGTTATAAAGAAAAAAAATTAAATTGTTAGTATTATAACCTTCCAAATTTGGCCTCTCAATACTTTAGTATATTCTTTTACAACACATTTCCAAGGTCTCTGTGTCCCTTCCCCCTTTCACTCCTTCCTCCTCTTTCTCCCATTCTGCCACATGGTGTGGGCTGGTTCTCATAGCCTGAGCACTTCCCTACATTGTTATTCTCTCTGCAGCCACTGAAGCAAGAACTTCAATGGCTGCATGGTATCCCATGTTAGGAGAAACTGTAATATGATGCGTGAAGGTGCTCCCCAGAGCACATTACCATGCACAGCACAATATATCTTTGTTGAATCTAACAGAAGTCAAGACGTAAGGGAAGGCCTTAGAAAACAAGCATTTGCAAACCCTGTGGCTCTTTTCACTGAACGTGTCCACAGAGCAGTGAACATGCAAATTGCTACGAATTGTTTGGGAATTGCAGGATGAAGATTAGGAAGAAATGACATTTTGGTTGCTTCTTCAAGGAGACAATTCACATCAGAGCTGTGGCGTATTTGCAGAGCTGTGTTGGCACTGCAGTCAGAAGCTGCTGGCAATGTGCTCACAGGGCCCCTGAGGGAAGCCAGCCAAACGCTCCTGAACTCCAGGAAGAGGCACCTGCTCTTCCTCGAATCTGGGCTGGCTGGCCAGTCCCGGTTCTCCCGTTCTCCTCTCTACTTCTGTGTGGTTCCAGAGAGCTCCCCTTCACCTCTGTTAAATTTTACCTGTCAATCCTTGCGTCCTCAACTGAGACATCTGTCATGAAGTGGGAAAAAGCAAGGGATCCGAGGACACTGTGCCCTGATTCAAATCCCAGTTTCACACTTGCTCTCTGCATGCCCTGGGCAGGCAAGCTCTGCACATCAGTGTCTGGACTGTGAACTGGAACAGCAGTAATTGCATAATTCCCCTGGACACTGGACATCTTGAAAGCCTTGGCCCTGCCTGTGGTCTTACTCTTTTCCTTATCTCCCACCGGCCCCTTTCATCTGGTTTCTGGTCTCAGGACTTCACTGAACAGCTGTTGCTATGGTTACCAATGACCCCACATTGGAATCTAGACTATGAACAATGTTCAGTTATCTGTTTATGGGTCAGATCTCTCAATCTCTTTTTCTCAAAATGTTAACTTACTTCAGCGGTGTGCCAACATTCTGCAGGATTTCTGCCTCTTGTTCTGTCTCCTCTCCCTACTTCTTGATCATGACACCCAGTCCCAGGCCCTCTCCCTTCTTCTTCTCACTCTGTATTCTGTCTCTAGGCAATCTTAGCATCTCCAATTGAGTATTTGACACCATGACCAGAGCTGAACTCTTGCTCCTCCCTCATCTCAGTGAATGGGGCCTCCACCTCCTAGTCCTCAATGTCTTGGTGTCATCCTTGAATCCTCTCTTTCTTTCCTTCCCACACCAGTCCCTCAGCACATTCTGTCAGCTCTACATTTAAAATATAGCAAGAATCTGATCATTTCTCACCACCTCTACCCACTGGCATCCTAACTGGCCTCTCTGCTTCTCTCCCTTACCCTCCACCATCTATTCTCAACCCAGCAGCCAGAATATTTTCAAAATGGCAGTCGGAGCATGTCACTGCTCTGCTAAAGACCTTCCAGGGGCCTCTTCTCAACAACAGTAAAAGCTTAAGTTCTTAAAATGGCCTACAAAGCCCCACATGATCTGCCCCCAGACACAGATCCCTGATCTCACCTCCTACTAATCACTCCCTTCCTGACTCTGCTCTTGCCAAATTGGCCTTGCTGCTCCTCCATTATGTCAAGCATGTTCCTACTTCAGGACCTTTGCACTTGCTGTTCCCTCTGCCTAGAATACCTCTCCTTAACATGGCTTGCTCCTTCTTTGCTTCAAATCTCTACTCAAATAGTACCTAATTAGCAAGGGTTTCAGGTCTATATAAAATAGCAACCCTACCCCGATTCTGGCAATCCTTATCCCCCATACACAGATGGCCAACAAATTAATATTCCTAGATTAAATGTTTTCTTGGAAGATTAGATTACTCAACTCTTCTTAGGTATTTTAAACAAGATAATATCAGGTGGCTATAAGCACCATAGATCAAATTATTTATTGATTTACTTGTTCACTTATTTATTATCTTCTTCCATTAGAATATAAACTCCATGAAGGGAGAGATTTTGGTTTCTTCACTTAGTACTTAACATGAATGAATGTCATCCATGTCCTGGCTTCAATTACGCTTAACAGATGACTCACACATTTTAATATCGTTAGCTCAGACCTTTACTTTGAAGGCTACCAGAAGACTCTTCTCGACATGTACAAAACAGAACTCATGCTCTTCCTCTCCAAACCTGGGCCTCTTCTCATGTTTTCCTTGTTTACTGTCAACAATACAGTCCAACAAATACTTACTGAACACCAACAATGTGCCAGGCACTGGGGAGAGAGTGGGGAACAGGATAGACACAGACTCTCACAGAATAGACATTCTAGTGGACCCTTGTTCCTCTGGGCAAGCCAGGCATCAAGTTAACCTTCACACTCCCTTCCTCGTTGCGACCCCTATAGCCAACCCAGCACCACCTTGAGTGGATTTTTACCTCCTAAATATTGCATAATCTCTCCCTTTCACTCAATCACAACACAGCGGTGTTTACTTCGGCAGCGGAGAGACAGACAAGGCTCAGGCGTGCTATTGTTGGTCTCATTGTCTGAACAAGGAGAACAGTGTCCTAACTGGACCAGCATCCACTCTAACCTTCCAATCCACTCTCCACACTGCAATCCTGATCAATTCCTCCCTGTCACCACCAACCCCATCTGATTGCAAAGCCTTCAGAGCTCTCCACTGCTCCCTCTCTCTCAACTCCAGCCATCCTTCCATCCTTTACTCAGTATTCCCCTCCTGCCATGGGCCCTTTGCGCACTTTGTTGCTTCTTCCTGGAAAGTTTTCTCCTCGTCACCTACTTACTCATACTCATCCTTCACATATCAGCTCAGGTGTAACCTCCTCAGGAAAGCCTTTTTCTGATCTCAGCCAAGCGCTATTAAGAAGCTCTCATAGAACCATACATCTCTCTTTCCTTGTACTACTTCTCACAGCAGCACACACTTAGTTTACATGTCGGTTAACTGATTAATGTCTTTGTCCCTCCAGGCTGTTCTCTAGGAGTACTGGGCTGTATCTGTTGTATTCATCATTATATCACAGGGTCTAGCACAGTGCCTGACATATAGTAGAGCAATAAGCATTCACCAAGAGGATGAATGAACGAGGAGATGAAAGGAGGATCCAGTGAAGTAATACAGGTAAAACTCCTAGGATAGTACTCCATACATGGCAGGCATTAAGTACCATCCAATCCCTCACCCCGTTCCACCCAGAGAGTTCCTGGGACTTAGGAGGAAAGTGGCAGAAGCTATTGTCAGTATCTAACAATGCAGTCTGCTAATGCCATCTGTTCCCCTTTGTTCTTTACTTCAAAGGCTGTAGATAGTTTGGACAAATCCTGGAATAATCTATCTCTACCCCAAAGCAACAGGCAGGTGTTAAGGGGGGAAGGTGGGTGAGTCTGGAGCTATCTCACTTGAAGCAGGTGGGGGGCTGGGAATTAGGAAGAGACGGGTTTGAATGTGTGGGACCTGAGGCTGTGTCTTGGGAGCGTGTACAGAGAACAGGACAAAGAGCATCCAAATACCATGCCAACAAGAGTGCTCCCTCCCAGGCCCTCTAGTTGAAGGCCCAGGAGCCTTGGGAGAAAGACATGGGTTTCATGCTCAAACTTTGCATCCGAGCGTCTCTTTCATGGCTGTACAGGGGACAAGTGTGCGGCCAGCACCAGCAAATCAGGTGGGAATGAGACTGGAGCCCATCTCAGGAGAAGGCAGATATGGTGGAAACAGTGGGAAGAGGTGCAGGTGGTGAGAGTTGGGGCGGAGGGGAACCTGAGACAGAGGTGAGGACAGATGTGGCAGCATTCCAGGCTGACCTCCCAGCAGGGCCTGTGAGAGCCAGCAAATGGCCTGGGCGGGGTTGCCATCCCCCAGGCCTTCTCTATCCTGCACTCCTGGGCAGGGCCAGGACCGCCATGGGAGAGGACTGCTTCCCTAGGTCACTGAGCATCACGGAGCCGGGCAGGGCACAGCCTCCCAGCCAGCCCAACCCTGCTGCCCTGAGGTGCTGAGGATGGTAGGAGGGTGGCGGAGGGACACTGAGAGCAGCCCTTGCCACCCTGACACCCAGAAGGAAGAAGGTGCCAGGAAGAAGGAGGCAGGACCAGTTTGGAGGGTAATTCCTGTTGCCCTGCGACCTCTGGATTCCACCAGCAGGTGTGGTGTCAGCTGCCTGCAGTCACAGGACAAACGCGTGCTGAGCCTGGGGACCTGGCCGCTGGCTGGAGTTTAGAAAGGTCGAGGGGACAATCCCACCTCACCCTGATGGCCCCTGCCCTCAGTTTCTCCTCCCAAAATAGAGGGGTGGGGTGGGGGGGCGACAGGTACCTGGTGGCATCTGGCAGGAGGCAGGGAGAGCACTTGATGGCGAACTGGGTCCGCCAGCGCCTGTGCTGCGCCTGGAACACCTGGCCGAAAGCCCCTCCTGCCACCCGGCGCCAGTCGCCCTCGAAGTCGTCGCGGGTGAAGACGGTGAGGCTGCCCAGCCGCTGCTCCACGTCCAGGGCCATGGGGCCAGCGCGCGGCACTCCGCAGGCCTGGCTCCCGCCCGCTCACTCGGTGGGTCGGAGGCTGGGATCAGGAGGAGAGCCGCCTCCCTCCTTCCGCACGAGGAGGAGCCAGCCTGTCTGCGAAGGCGGGGAAAACCCAGACCTGAGCCTTGTGCCCCAGGCAGCGATGACCTGGGCCTGGGAAGAGGGTATGTCCCTCTGAGAACCCCCAAAGGACCCCTTGCAGCCAGCACCCTTCCTCAGGCTCCGCCTGTGAGCCCCCTGTACACCCCCACCCCCTCCATGAACTAGGGGGTGGCTGGAAGGGGAGGGGTCCTGAAGTTGGGAACAGGAGTCTGGCAGATAAACTGGCCCGTTTGATTCAGATCCAGCTCTAAGGGCAACTCATACTGAGGGATTATGAGGGTTCAGAACTATGCCAGGGGTTCCCATTTCTGAGTGTGGATGC